TTCTTTTGGTAATAAATTATTTAATTCCCAGTGCTGTATAGGTAGATACTTTGTTTTTTTAATAATATTTCCTTACCTAATGTGAGGAACTGAGAAATAAAAATGAACTGATATTGAGATATAAAGATTCCACCAACATAGCAGCTGTCCTGAGGTATAATTTTAACCTCTGTGTCATAAAACAAAACAAAACAAACAAACAAAAAAAAACTGATCATATCTCAGCTTCTTCCTCTTAAAAAAAAAAAAAAAAAGGTGGCCTGAAACTAGATAAGCTGCGAGACCTCTCTTAGGTTACAAACTTTGTTTTAGACAAATTTCTTAAGATGACACTTTACATGAAATGTTGTAAAAGTATCAGAAACCTGCCACATTTAAAATTAACAGGCTTTCATTAAATAACTTGTGGTTAAAGTATTTCTTTAAAATCAATGGAAGTTTAATTTTAATTATTAAGCATGCTACTCAATACAAGCAAATCGGTTATATAATTAACTACATCTAAAATAGAAAAGTTAAATAATAGGAAAATGAGTTTTAAATGTGCAGCACAGGACCAGTTGTTCTATTTTCATTAATTGTCATGTATCTTGCCATGTCCTTTATCTGCTTGTGAATTTACAAGGAACAAAGCAGGTTGTGAATTTTTAATAGGCTTTCCTCAAGGAAAGAAAAGGTCAGTATTAACATAAAATTCTTCTTAAAGATTTGTGGCACAAATGTTTCACACAGGAGAACAGGTGTTTACTGAGGAACTAAAGCCACAATAATCTGACATTTTTTCTATGTTTAAAGAAAACTTAATGTCTCACATAATAAAATAGCACAAGGTCAAATCAATACAAAAGTTATTTCAAAGTGGATGCGGTAAGTTACTTGGCACATGATCCATAATCGTATTTCTTGGTAACATAAACAACTGATTTTGTTCAATTAAGTATTTAATAAATCCAAGTATTGATACCTAACATCCAAATAAAAAAAGAGAAGAGAAAGCTATTGTTGCCAGGACTAACCAAACCTGGTCTGATCTTTACTTATTTAGTAAATGAATTGGAATGTGAAATAAATTTCTATCACACATACAAGGAATAAGGAACAGAGACATTACACCAGGGTAAGGGTGGAAAAATATACAAAAGAAGGATAATTAAAATAATAAAGAGCAACTTAAAGAGAAGAGAGGACACTTAAACAGGAGAATATAATTCAAGAATTTTGTCCACTGGTCTCCTTCTGTAACTGTTAAGAAATCAGTAATACCAGCATACCTTCTATGAGTTAGCTCTTGTCTTGTGAGGGTTTCAAACATGGTTTCAACTCCCCAGGTCTCAGGGAGTCTAGAAATATATCTCTCTGCCTTATAGTAAATATCTGTTGCAGTTTCTTTCTTGTCCAGTTCCCAGACATGTTTATTTAAATCATATTTTGAGTAACACAGGCCAATGGTAATTTGGGCCCCTTATTCTAGTGTTAGTGTTCTTCAAGAAAAAAGATACTTTTTTTTTTTCCCACAAACTCTAATGGTTTAAGAAAAATGCATTATAAGTCTGGCTTTTTAAGACCAAAACTTATAAAAGCATAGGTCTAATTTGTTTCCCTTAATTATAAGGAAGTAGAAATACTTTCATTTCTTAGTTGCATATAACACCCAGTGCTCATCACCACACATGCCCTCCTTTTTTTTTAAGATTTTATTTATTTATTTGACAGAGAGAGAACACAAGCAAAGGGAGTGGGCGGGGGGAGAAGCAGGCTTCCCACTGAGCAGGGAGCCCGATATGGGGCTCCATCCCAGGATCCTGAGGATTATGACCTGAGCCGAAGGCAGATGCCTAATGACTGAGCCACCCAGGTGCCCCCAACACGTGCCCTCCTTAATACTCATTTCTGATTCCTCAAACCACAGTCCAGCTTTTAACCTTCATCTCTCTGATTTTGTTCTACCATGTGCAACTTCCTAATCCCACGGAAAGTTCCATAGTATGGGGCCCAATTACTAGACGTAATGTTCTCTTTCTATAGTATAAGTGAAGGTAAAAATCCTGCTGTGATTCATATTTCAAAGTTGAACTTTATAATAATTAAGATCTCATCATTCTAGCAATTTTTTTGCATGTCTAACTGATTAGAATAGCAGACCTGGTCTTAATGATTTCCATCTTGCTGTATATCCTTCCCCACTCCAAATCTACATTCTGTATTCACCTAGTGTTCTGTACAGTTTGTAAAAAGCAAAAAGATCCCAAGTTTAAACCTCTACTCATTCTTTATCCAGTAGTTTAAGTGATAATGCTGTAGGAAAGCCTCACATACTGCTGTGGGCTAGTTTTGGAGATGTCTTGTGAATTTCATTTGAATTTTCCATAGCACTAGAATGGAATTGCTGATTAACTTTTAGAAGTACTTGATTCTTGTGAGAGTATACACGTATTTCTCAATTACAATTGTTGAATGAATAGACAATAAATGTCATAACTGTTTGCTACAAACCACAGTTATCCGATCAAATGATTAACAATATCAATAATCTTTTCTTGAATTATTTTGATTCCCAGGCAGAATGAGAAATATGCAATGCTTATATCTACCATTTGGAAAATTGCCATGGTTGCATATTCATGTAATTGGAAAGTTTCCTGGCAACTACGTGTATTTTCAATTACTAAAAAGCATCAATCTTGTGACTTTTTGAGAGTGGTTCCCTGGACAACACAGTCATATGTTACTTCTGAGAGCTTTTTAGCTAAAAGCAGATAGTTCTTGAGTTTCTCAACCTTACCTTGTTATTTATGAATAGCTAAAAATGCAGTAAAAAGCTATTTGTTCCCTGACTTCTCTTTTTCTTTAAAGAGCATATCCATTTCGGGTTTTTTTTCCCCATTATATTTGTAATAATGAGTTATTTGTCCAGAAATCAGAAAAACTGAGTTTGATCCAAATTTGATGGCTTAATGTTAATTACTAAAAACCATTAACTAAAGAGTAGACTGCTTTTATAGACCCAACAATAGCCAGTAATACAACATATTAGTCATAGGTGTGTGTTTCTAACATATATTTATTTTAAACAGTTTCAGGTTCATGTAAAAATGATTCCGCAGCCACGTCCATTGACATAAGCTCCAAAAAAGAAAGAAACTTTAAAATAAAGAAGTAAAATTCTACTTTAAATAGAAAGTAATCAGTTTAATATTCATATATGCAATTAGATGAAAATGTCTGTTGATGTAATTAAGCTAAAGCAAAATACCAAACCTTATTTAGATAAATATCTAATTCTCTAATTTTTTGCATAATTGAAGGATATTGTCTCCAATTTTAATTTTCTGTTATACATCATTGTGCCTATTCTGATTTACGACTACATTTTACATGAATTCTTAAAAAAAAGTTTGCAATGATGTCTAACTTATAATAAATGCCTTATAGAACTTTAGAAAATCTACATTTTTTTCATATTTCTTATCTGATAGAAAAACAAAATCAAAATTTTAAAAACATAATCTCTTACTGCAAATAATCAAACTATGATCCCAGCATAGAAAATGTTTATTGGTTGGATGATACAATTAAAGAAAAAGTTACAACCCTTGTATTTTACAATGCCATGCTCTGTCCCTCCTACACCTAAGCCCCACCATTCAGGGTAAGAATTCCATGGAGAGCAGGGGATATTCACATTTGGAACCTACACGTCAATTTCCAGATCATATTCAAGGTACCTGGGACCCATTATTCCCTGCCTAGACATCCCCAGCTTGCTTTTAGGTCCAAGGGGGCTCTCTCCTTCAGGTCAGTCACCCAAAAGCCAGACTTACCCACTGTTATATGCATCCTGAAACCTGGAGACAGTCCTAGTGGGCATCTATTAAAATACAACATAGCAGGGCGCCTGGGTGGCTCAGTTGGTTAAGCGACTGCCTTCGGCTCAGGTCATGATCCTGGAGTCCCAGGATCGGGTCCCACATCGAGCTCCCTGCTCAGCAGGGAGTCTGCTTCTCCCTCCTGACCCTCCCCCCTCTCATGCTCTCTATCTCATTCTCTCTCTCAAATAAATAAATTAAATCTTAAAATAAAATAAAATAAAATAAAATAAAATACAACATAGCTGGAATTTGCCCATGAAAACATGGAATCCTGGATCTCATTTACACTGGGCTGAAATGTCCACATGAATGCCTGCAACGTTCTTTGACATGATGGTGAATTCTGGAAGATTAGTGTTGTGGGCATAGATGAAGGACAGGAAACAGACATGCTTTGTATTGCCTTTTTCCTGCACAAAACTTGTTTGAGGTTATTAAGAAGATAGATTTGACAAGGTAAGAGCCTATATAGAGCATATTTTATTGTAGAATTTATTAACTTGATTTATAATTTTAAAATAGAGACATCTATTTTTACTCTTTGTCTGAGTCCCAAAAATATCTGTGGGGCAATCTTTTGTGTGTGTGTGTGTGTGTGTGTGTGTGTGTGTGCATATGTGAACCAAAAATTAACACATAGTGTTTCTAAAATAGGATACTACTTTGCCTGTTACAGTTAAGACATCTCTAATTCTCCCGTGGAAATGCAATAACAATAAATTTATAAGAATTTCCTCAATAATATGAGAGTAAAAGAATTTTCCACTCACAGAAAGAGATGAGAGAAGTAATGTTTACACAAGCATGTCAAGACTGATGACATATGTCTTTGTCAAGAGTTAATTGCCTATGAAAATGGTTATTTACCAAGCAAAGCAAAGAGGGGAACTGTGTTTGGTTTATTTTTACTACTTTTTTCCATTTAGAGTAAAAATCATACTGATATGTGAGAGGCTAGTCTTATTGTTTAAGATATACAGATGAGTGTGTTCATACTTATTCAACTCTCATTTCAAGAACTAAGATAACTGACCCCATTATTCAGTGATGGGACATGAGAGACTTTGAATTCTTCAGCATTATGTATTTTCAGACATTATCATGGATGTGCTCTTTTTTTATTTTCCCTAGCTTCATTCAGACCAAGATAAAGGAGATGGATCACTCAAATATATTTTATCTGGAGATGGAGCAGGTACTCTTTTTATTATTGATGAAAAAACAGGTGACATTCATGCCACAAGAAGAATTGATAGGGAAGAAAAGGCGTTTTATACTCTGCGTGCACAAGCTATTAACAGAAGAACTCTGAGACCAGTAGAACCAGAGTCTGAGTTTGTGATCAAAATCCATGATATCAATGACAATGAGCCAACGTTCCCAGAAGAAATTTATACAGCTAGTGTTCCAGAAATGTCTGTTGTAGGTAAGTTAATTTATAAGAGTTATCATGGTATACAAAAAGTATAAAAAATAATTATCAAGAGGGGCGCCTGGGTGGCTCAGTCATTAAGCATCTGCCTTCGGCTCAGGTCATGATCCCAGGGTCCTGGGATCGAGCCCCGCATCAGGCTCCCTGCTCAGCGGGAAGCCTGCTTCTCCCTCTCCCACTCCCCCTGCTTGTGTTCCCTCTCTCGCTGTGTCTCTCTATATCAAATAAATAAATAAAATCTTTAAAAAAATAATTATCAAGAAATTCTTAAAATACTATGATCAGTTAATTGACATCTTCTTTGATTCCTTCCAAAGAGTACTTATTTAATTTCCTCATGTTGAAAATCAGTCAGAAAAAAAAGATTAATCGTTTCTTACATGTTACGGATTTGTAAATCTTTACAAATAAGTAGATACTTCCCTCAAAAACCCAAGAAAATACCACTGAACTTTATTAGAAAACTATGAAATACCATCTTTGTCACACAGATTTGTATAATAGCTGTGTAAAATTCTGATGCCAAATATATTATAAGCACAGTCAGAACACTGTAGATGTAGAGTCTTTATAATTTGTCTAACGAGTTTGTTTGGATTATCTAGATAATACAAAAGGCGGAATTGATTAGATTATCTGATTCTTTCATATTAAGTATTTTAAAACATCTTTTCATTATAATCATTATATGTAAAACTCTGCTGATATAAGTCTGTTATTCAAATAAACCAGTTGAAATTCCACAATCACATACTGATACAGAATTGAAAATTTAGGTTGTAGAATCTGTAAGACAGAAGGCATGAAAAAGCTGTAAGTATAATATTCAAGATAATGGAATTTTCTTTTTCATTGGAAATAAATGAAAGTTGTATTTGTAATCAAAGAAAGTTCAGACTACTTTTTTTATTAAATAGAGAATGACAAAAATAAATAAATATCAGGAAGCAATGATAACATTTTTTAGAGACATATATTTAGACTTAGTAGAATAGTTTTATTTCTCAAATGTGGGAAAAGTCCTATAAACCCATGAAATAATTCTGATACTTTTAACAGTTGTAACAGCATACTTTCAACTCTGCATTTCTCAAAAGCATTGTTCTGGGATTATATTTAATATTTACTTCACTAAATCCCAAGGACTTTGGCAATTGCTTTATTATAAAGCCCTTTTATATTTCTTGAACTTTATTAAATAGCTTTTAATCGTTCATGGAACTTGGGATCATCTTGGATTGTTTCTAAATTTAGAATTTAATCTATTCATAAAATTGTATTCTAGAGCAGATGTTAATTATTTTTACAGTTAATTAGTGGAGAGGAGGTAAGAAGAGCACACCTACTCCTTTGTGATCAGATATGCCCTTTACACTAAACAAATCTATTATGTGAAAATGAATTTAAATATCAAACCTGAGATTTGCAGAGTAACTGCATTTATTATAATCTGATACATTGTAGCATTACTTATGCATGCATGAAAATATACCTGTTGGCTAAATATGTAGCTGAATTCACAGTTTTCCTGTAATAACACTATAAATATGATTTTCTTGTCAATTATATATAAATATTTCTTTAAGAGGTCATTATTAAAGCCAAAAATCATTCAAGTCTTCCATGAAAACCAGTGCTTTTGCTCCTCCTTCTGGTACTGTGCAGAACTAAGCTGAATTTGGATACTTCAGGTACTTCTGTGGTGCAAGTCACAGCTACAGATGCCGATGACCCTTCCTATGGGAACAGCGCCAGAGTTATTTACAGCATACTTCAAGGGCAGCCATATTTCTCTGTGGAGCCTGAAACAGGTCAGGAATCATGAATCACTGTTTGTTCATTTAAGTCTTTATGATCTTTATAAGTAGAAAAAAGGTGGGAAAATAAAAACATTAACAGTAATACTTACAGAAGAGTGATGATGCCACACTTAAAGATTTAAGAATTCAAAGTTGAATGATTGAGTGAGCTGATCGAAATAAACCTGATTTTTATGTTTTTTTTAACCTACAAGTTTAGGCAACTATATAGCACATATGACCACGCAAATGGTAAAATATTTACATTGAATCACTTTTGCAATTTCTAGACAATAAAAATTAATAGCAAAATCATACTTTGTCTTTCAAAAATCACTAGATAGATAATTTGTGGTCTTAGTCAACTACTAGTTGAGATTTTAATGAGGATAACAGAAGTTTTTTATATTTTCTTCAAGGTATCATCAGGACTGCTTTGCCCAACATGAACAGAGAAAACAGGGAGCAATATCAAGTGGTAATCCAGGCCAAAGATATGGGCGGCCAGATGGGAGGCTTATCGGGGACCACCACGGTGAACATCACACTGACAGATGTAAATGACAATCCACCTCGCTTCGCCCAGAGTAAGCTGCCTTTCATGGTCTTTCCACAGGGCAAAAGCTTTGGACTGAAAAGAGAAAAGTAAAAAGCAATTGTCAATCATTTAATTTTTGAAACATTGAAAATTGCTACAAACGTGAAGAAAAGGTGCATATGCTGATGAATTCACTGTTACTAAAATATAAAAATTAAATATTTCAGACATATTTCATTTAGAAGCAGGGGATCTGTGATCACAAAACCTGCATCTATGACTGTAATCCAGGAACTGTTTCTTTTAGTTAGCAAAAGGAAATAATGTTTTATTGGAATACAAAGCCCTACTTCTACAATGAATGTGCTTATTTACACTTAGAATTTAATAAGAAGGATCTAACTCGAGGGTAAAATTTTTCAATAAAGTATCTAATTTGTCATAATATGAAGACTTAGCCAGAAAGGGCGATATAGGCCAGAACCTAACAAACTAATCAGACTTGCATTTAGTATCACGGGGTCAGACTTGCAGTTACTATTTCTGTGTTTGGAATGGTAATCATACTAAAAGATTTTTTTATACTAAAACATGTTTTTAATAATTTTTTATTGTTATGTTAATCACCATACATTACACTAAAACATTTTGTATTCCTGACCCATTTAGTTATAAAACACTAAATCTATTTAGTGTTACTGTTTTCTACTTCGATCTATTTTCGTTATAAAATGAACCCTTCAAATTCTCAAAATAGATCAAGAATAGGTTAGGAATCATTAGATTCTGACCGTATGATACATGTATTTATTCTCTCTTTTTATACAAATTTGGTAGAAATGAACGGACACTCCCAAGAATCAGAAAATTTCCTGCTAACCTGAAAGATCCTATACTTCAAGATGGAATTTTATGTTGTTAGAAATGTGGCATAATATGCAGGCTGTAGTAGGATCTATGTCCTTAAGTTTTAGAATTTGCTGTGTATTAACTTCTAAATTGATCCCCCAATTTTAGTTTGGTTTTAGCTTAAATACTTTTGTGATATCATATTAAAATGTAGCTTTTTGTGATATTTATATTTTTATACTAAAGACTACAATGCAGAAGGTATTAGGGTCTAAGAATTCATTCTATTATTTTGACTGTTTAAAAGCATTTTACCTTTTTTCTATGCTATTTTTATCTAACTTTGATTATTAATAATAGTGATGATTTGAATTGAATTATTTAAAATCATGTGTGTAGAAAAATTATAAAATTCACATCGAATTTTTTTGAGCAGACTAATCTTTTGCTTATTATTTGTTATGATCATTTTGTTGGATATTAAGTTATAGGCCCATTAGGTATGCTGTTGTGGTGTTTGGCCCAAAACACAGAGAAAAGAGTATTCGTTTATGCTCTTTTCAAATAATCAGATTGCAGCTCCAGATTACCTGTAGCATGGGCAGGGAGAAGAAAACCAATAATAATCCCTAATGGTTCTTTTAGAATAAATCTGAAGACATGCCTAGTTGCATTAAAATTCAAATTTCACATTTTGTATATATTTCTGACCACCTCTTAGCATGAATTTATTATTAGGAGAATGATTAAATGCTCAGGAACATATATACACATATGTCAAAAATGCAGCTCATCTAAAAATGGTGCATCCAATTAAGCAAATTAGTGGATTCTAATTAAAGGCAAAAATTAGATATCTGAAAAATAATAATGCCCAATGAAAATTCATTTTATATTCTTTCATCTCCTACAACACCTTTATTAATTCATTCGATAATTATTTCCTTTCCTTTTGTGAAGTCAGAATTTATGATTGGTATCTGATAGTCACATTACACAAGCCCTAACATAATTTTAATAGTCATAGCTCTGGTAATAATAATAATATAATAACAATAATAATATAATGATGATAATAAAAAGAAGCAGCAACATAACCTATTTTCTGAATAACATTTTTTGGGGGACACTGTACTGATTTATTTATTGACCTACTTTATTTAATCCCAATAACTCATTCAGCTCAGTATTATGATCTCCATTTTACAAATGGGGAAACCAATGTTATAGATGTTAAGGCCAAACTATAAGTAATGAAAGAAGTGGGTTGAAATCCATGTCCAGCCACCTATGTACAATATGATACATTTAGAGGAATTTTAGAGTGCCTTGTATCTTGTCTCATTATTTTTTAATTATAGATAGAAACATAATTTGTGGATTTTTATTTTCTCAATTATCTTGTCTGCTATGAATATTTGCAACCATATCTTACTATTGGGAACATTCAGTCATGGCAATTAGAATGTTACTTGATAGTCTAAGTCATCTAACATCCAGAAAACTAGTTTTTAATTTCTAATCATTTCATTAAATAGCCAATGTTTGGAGAGAGTTCCACACGTTAGGAAGACCATATACAGCATAACATTGAGAACTCAGAACTAACCTATTTAGACCCCTTGTTGTTGTTATTATTATCATTATTAATTATTATATCCACTGTATGGAAAAATGAAGGCGATTCAGAGTGGAAATGATAAAGACAAAAAATAAATGCTGCTTACTAGAAATATAATGCAAACCAAAAAAGTATGTGGCACATATATAATTCCAATTTTTATCAGCCATATAAAAAGGTTAAAAGAAGCAGAAGACATGTATTTTTACCATATATTTTCTTTAGCCCAATATTGTCCTTTATACATATCAATATGAAACTTATTCAGATATTTTATATTCTTTTTTCCCCATAATTCTTTAAAATACCCACTTACATCAAGTATTTTCTAGTTGTATCAAGTCTCAATTCAGACTAACCACATTTCCTGTCAATAGCTACATGCGGGTTAGTAGCTTGGCTAGTGGCTGCCATATGGGACAGCTCTGGAGCAGACCATGGAGTCATTCTGCATGAGTCCCAATGTTGTCTTCTTCACTTAGTAGCTTTCTCATGTTGGTCAGTTAAACTGAACCCTCTATTTTTCAGTGCCATTCAGTAAACCTGGATAGCAGTGCATACTCCATGGAACAGTGTAAGACTAAACAATTTGACATCTGTGAAGCACTTGGCTCAGTGGCCGGCACTAGTGTATTTATGCATTCAGTAATGTTGATTTGTGCAAGTACTGCCCTATTACTATTATTAGTCAATATTATAAAAATAGCCTCAGAACTTAAACATACATGTAGATTGGCTGATCCAAATTCAACATTTCCCAGAATGCCATATCTGTGGAAGATAAACATCTCAGTCATTTAGAACGACAGGGAGAGGTGGAAACTCAGATGTCCTGCTTCATTGTTAACCTTATTTTATTGTGTGGATCTACAGCAGTCATTCTCAGTCAGGGACAATTTTGCCACCCAGAGAACATTTGGTAATGTCTTGAGACATTTTTGCTTGTCTCAACTGGTGGCTACTCCTAGCATCTACTGGGTAGAAGATGAGAACGCTGCTGAACATCCTCACAATTCACATGAGAAAGAGTAAATTGGCCCAAAATGTCAACAGTGCTGTGGTTAGGAAACTTTGATATGTTATATGAGGATCTGTTCAAGTGAAATCATAAATTCATTTACCTAAAAATATTTATTGAAAACACACTTGTACCAAACATTATTATAGAAATGAGATATATGAACTTTGTCAAAAAAAAAAAAAAGTCCTGGTTTTTGTCACTATGACCTTTCATTACAGTAGGGGAGGCAGATCAGACGTAAGTAAAAACATTATATACATATGAGGTCTTGGCTCAGTCATGGATAAAAAGGCAAACACGTGTGTGCCACGGGGAAGAATAAGGGAAGGTCTAGTTCAAGAGGTGATATTTTATCCAAACATGGCAAGATGAAATAGACCCAAGCAGAGGTAATGGCATGTGAGAAACGGTAAGATTGGAAATTGAGGGATGGATGTCAAGAACTAAAAATGGTGTGGCTGGATCATACCAAACAACAGGAGGTTGGTGGGAGATTAGATCAAAGAGCTCTATAATCACAGGGACTTTGACGATAGTAAATTTTTATTGGTATTAAGAAAAAACAAACTTAGGTCAGGTATGCCTGACATAAGCTATCATCATGGTCTTGTGCTTTTAGAGGTATATGGATAGGTGAACATTAATATAACATGGGCACCCACCTTTGGCATGATTCCAAAAGAGGTAATGGATTAGAAGATTAGGGGGCACCTGAAAACTGAGTTCCAAAAGTATTTTCTGCTATTTTGCTCTAGATACTAACTTGCATTTTTCACTCTCAAAAAGATACCTCTGTTGAAATTGTCTCATAGTCCTGGGTTAGTTCAAGTGACATAATTTAATTTTTAAAACAATAAGTGAAGAACAAAAATTGATCACTTACCTTCCACTGACAAGCACTGTGTTTGCACCTAAGCACATGAAGATTAATGTCTTGATTCCTGATCACACGTGGCTTATTGTCTAGCAGGGGAGAGAATATTTCATTAGGAAATCATGTGTAATAAAGGAATTATGCACAGAATGCAATGGGCAAACAGAAGAGCAGCACTTATCCAAATAGGGGAGCGAGGGTCTGAGTACCTCATTTACAGTGGAAGGTAAGGAGAACTTACCTCTCTCTCTCTTTTTTTAAAGGTTTATTTATCTTAGAGAGGGAGAGACACACAGAGAGAGAGAGGGAGAGAGCATGGGCAGGGAGAGGGGCAGAGGGAGAGAAAGAACCTCAAGGAGACTCTGCACTGAGTGTGGACCCCAACGTGGGGCTTGAGCCCGGGACCCTGAGATTATGACTGAGCCTAAGAATCAGATGCTTAACTGAGCCATTCAGCAGCTCTTGGAGAAGTTACCTCTTGATTTAAGTCTTTTCTTAAAATTACTACTTAAAACTACTATATGCCATAAGGAGAGGAAAAGAAGAGTTCACCAAGTTGGAAATTAACAAAGTTTCTAATTTATGAAAGGGCATAATCTGTGCAGGGAAAAAAATGACAAATGCTTCAAAGTGGTTGTGAAGATTTTTTAGTGGTGAAATAGTAGATGCTTTTAATGTTTGTTT